ACAGAATCAGTAAGGACTTTAATTTATACATTTTCCCCAAACCCAAAGCCAGGACTACTGAGCTCCCACCTAAAGACTAACTCTTTCCCATTCTGTGGGGTCAGTCATAGGAGGTTCAGCATCAAGTTGGCCTCATTGCCACGCTACCTGAACTGGGTTTCTGTTTTAATGCGGAGTTCTGACTCCCTGTCTTTGCTCAAGCTCCTGTAATGAACCCCTGTGTTTCGATCTCTTTCCTCAATATCCCTGTCCCTGGAGACTGAGTCCTTCTCTAGGCTCCTAAGACACAAGTCTTGCCTCTTGGAGTCCAGGTTTATCTATTTCCTGGTGTTAAAATCCTGAGCTGCCTTATCTGTCTGTCCTCACTCACTTATCCTGGCAATGCCTGGAATTATCTTGCCTTGCTTATATTTCCTAGGAACATCTTGGTGGTGTTTGGGTAGCTTCTGCCAGCAAATAAGCAACTGATAAACAGATTCTAATATTACTACAGTATACTTACAGCTATTATTTCCTAAAACTCCTATTCATTCATTCACCAAATTCCTCCATTCAGTGCATGCATTTGATAACTCTGGGGTGCCTCCTGTGTGCCAGGCATTGTTCTAGGTGCTGATGACGATGCAGCGGAAAACAAAACAATGCACCTTCCCTTATGGGGCTTGTGATCTAGTGGGGCAGACAGATAAACAATTTAAGTACATAGTGTGCCAGCCAGATGGAGAAAAATCAAACTGCCTGCAAGGACTAGGGGGGCTAGAATGGAAGGAAGGGGTTGCTGTTTTACAATGGCAATCAGGGAAGGTATCACTGAGAAAATGAGCTTGAGCAGACAACTAAAAGAAGTGAGAGAGAGGCATGAAAAAAGTGATAGAGTGAGCCCTGCTGGTCTTTGGAGGCCAAGTATTCCAGGCAGTGGGAATGGCAAGGGCAAACGCCCTGAGGCTGACTTGGCCTGATGTGTTAAAGAAATAAGCATTCCACGTGGGTGGAAATGTCCAGAGGGCAGGAGGCAATCATGGAGAATCATTTGGTTATTAAAAATGTTTTGACTTTTATTCTGAGAAAATGTAAGTATTTAGTCAGAGAAGTTGGCGTGATCTGTCTTCCATTTTGAAAGAAGCATTGTGTGCTGAGACTAGATAGTAGACACTAGAGGGACAAGATCAGAAGCTCAGCAACTAGCTAAGAGGCAAGAGCAACAATTCAGAGGCGATATAATGGTGGCCTGGACCAGGTTGCTCGTGGTGGGCGTGTGAAAAGTGGTTGGATTCTGGATATAATTTAAAAGTAGGGCATGTTCTGATGGCTTAGATATGCTCTAAGAAAAACAGAAAGATGACCCCAAGGTTTTTGGCCTGAGCAATTACAACAGTGGAGCGCCATTTACTGAGATGGGGATTAATGAGGCAGGGGAGTTGAATTTTGGACATGTTAACTTTGGGATGTCTATGACGCCACATCCTGAGCAGGTTGGGGAAGGATCTGGGGTGCCAGTGGAAGAGTGGGCCTTAGAGGGGAGTGTGGGGTGTGGATATCCCATGTAGTAGGAGGGAAGGTGAGGTATACAGGGACAGATGCAGAGTGACTGGAAAAGGGAGCAGCAAGGACCTGTGGAGGCTTTCCTGTAACTGCTGCTATGTTCTCAGTGAAACAGGAAGCCAGGTCAGCAGCTGAGAATGAGGAGAGGAGAGAAGGTGTGAGGAGGCTTTAAGACAGAGGAGGTGTGAAATAGTCTTCTAGGAGAGTGTTTTTAAATTTCAGCTCATGACCTAGTCGTGGATCTTGAAATCAACTTAGTGATTTGAGATCAATTTAGTGATTTAAAAAAGTAAATAGTATTTAAACATAGAGGGGCCACCCCGTGGCTTAGCGGTTAAGTGCGCGCGCTCCGCTGCTGGCGGCCCGGGTTCGGATCCCGGGTGCGCACCGACGCGCTGCTTTTCCGGCCATGCTGAGGCCACGTTCCACGTGCAGCGACTGGAAGGATGTGCAGCTGTGACATGCAGCTGTCTGCTGGGGCTTTGGGGAAAAATTAAAAAAAAAGGAGGAGGATTGGCGATAGATGTTGGCTCAGAGCTGGTCTTCCTTAGCGAAAGGAGGAGGATTGGCATGGATGTTAGCTCAGGGCTGATCTTCCTCAAAAAAAAAAAAAAAGAATTTAAACATAGAGTTCATTACAAGTATTAAGAGTAAGAACTGGTTACTAAAAGCTTTATTTCAGGTGCATGTGTGAATGTGTGCGTCCCGGGTGGTAGCAAAAATATTTTTAAAAGCACTGGCCCAGGACAGTAGGAGGAAATGAACAAGGGACTATCAAGTAAAGTAAGGGACTGAGTTAATGGTCAAATAGTTAATATATTTTCATGTGAAAAAGATTATAATATAGACTCTTAAGATCCTGCCATTGGATCTGCTTGAGGGCCACAAGCCCTCCCTGCTGCCCACCCCTTCCATAAGAAACCTTTTTGTTTGAATATTTTCAATAGCGAGAAGCTGACCTGCTTAAAAATTTTAGAATTCAGAATAACTTTCCTCTTTACAAAAAATGGGGCTCTCACAACACTCTCGGAGATGGTAAAGTAGTGAGTAGAGGGTCTGACAGTTGGACTTTGGAATTTGGTGTACTTAATAATGAAGTTTGACCTTATTATGTAATACCAAACTTGATGGCTTTTCTCCATTTTAGAGAGCTCTAAATCCTCTAAAACAAAACTAGTATCAGAATACCAAGAAATTTTGTTTTTGTTTAAACTTTAGCCCAGAATGGCATCATTTGGCTTTTAAATGTATGCTCTCTCCTCCTCACATTGCACTAACTGCAATTTTAATGGATGATTGAGCTAAGTTTTATGCCTATATTTTCTTCCTCTTTCAAGATGTCTTGTTGGATCTGCAGATGATTCCAATCAAATATAACTTTACTTAGAATAAAATTCATTCACTTTTAAGATTTTACATGCCTTAGTTGCTGAAATAGTTTTTCCCTGTAAAATATATTAATGAATAATAGTTAAGAATATGTCAACAGGTGCTGTGAAAATAGCCATTTATATTCTTAATTGTAATGAGCTCAGGTTATTTTCTAGACATTGTGGTTTAGAATAATAAAAGTACTACTCCAGTTCTATATTGTGCCTGATTGTCAAAAATGGTCGAGATTATTAACTTGAACCAGTTTTCTATGTACTTTACCAACTTCTGAGCCATTTATGAGTTCTTTCTTTTAAGTACTTTTTCTTTATTGTAAAGGCAATATCAAACAGTTCATTAGACAAGATATCAGACATAAACATTATACATGAAATGTATTTTCCTCTTGCAATGTTGTTCTCTTTCTACTGTATTTACTCTGATGTATACATAAATTTGAAACACTGAAGTAACAAAAGCAGAAATGAAATTTGAGAATGAGGACTCATAAAAAGGTACACTCTGCCTACACGAGTAAGAGTGTGCTAATTTATAACACTATTTAATCTTAGTCCAGTTGTAAATCAAAATCAAGTAGAATCTGAACCCACTTTCTATTGCTTTTGGGATTAGTTTACGTTCTAGAATTTTCAGTAGTTTCACTTCTCTAAACGCCAAGAAAAACTTAAAATTGCAAAACAGGAACACGAAATTCATATCTTCTTATGTAGTAAGGATCACTCTGCTATTCTTTATCTAGACCCTGACATATTTTTTTTTCCTCTATGTAAAATGTTTTTTGAGGAAAGGAAGTACACAGGATTAGTTTCTCTTCTATTGCTTCCAAGAGAGCTCTACCATGGAAAGCTCTCTCCCCTTCCCTTTTGCAAGCCTCAAGTCTGTTGCTGAGTCAGAACTTCCTTTTTTCCCTGATGTGAGAAATCTTTCTCCCTTGAAAATTAATAAAGCTTCGGAAATGTTTAAATTAGAGTCTCCCTGGGGGGAAGGGGCGGGGATGCCAGAATGAATGCGGTGCGGAGGAGTCCCACACAGCATTCCTGACTATAGCATATTAAATGCTTTTACGAAGTAGGAAGACTTGGAGCAGGCCCAGGGTTACCATGGGAGCTCGCTTCGGAACCCATTATATGCATATACGTGTGTAAATAGCCACACGGAGCCGTGTTATGTTCCAGGGACTTTGTTCCTCATTAATGAAGTGAAAATGTTTGGTATACAGCCGGGGCTTCATGTTTACCCTACAGAAAACACCTTCACGGAGCTGCAGGAAGGTGGATGACAGCACGCAGCACGAGAAGCTAAAAACAGAAACAAGCCTGAGAAGGCGCTTTCTAGGGCGACGAGAAGGGCTCCAAGTAGGGGACGCAGTTGGGGAAGAGGTGCGGGGCGCACTGCTCGGCGGTGTGCAAGGGAGGCAGAGCCCGCACCAGCCAGTTGGCCAAAGGACCCCCGGCGCTGAGCCGGGATCCCCGCCCCGCTCGCGCAGCGCAGCGCAAGCTACGCGTGGCCGGCTTGACTAGGATTCGCCCCAGGTCGGCTCCGGGGCCTCAGTTTCCCCGGTAGGCAAGCCCCGCCCTGGGCAGCCCCTGTCCCTGCAGCCGGGCCTCATGTGACTGAGGGCGGGGCGGAGGTGACAGAAAGGAGGCGGGGCCGCGAGAGAGACTGGGTGGAGGGTGGGGGAGCGCGTGCCACCTAGGGCAGGCTTTGAGCGAACCCCGTGCGGGGAGGGGCCGTTGCCCAGGAACCGTCCGAGCCGCCCGCGCGCCCGGCGCTCTCACCCCAGTGGGCCGCCCACCGCCCTAACCGGCTTCTCCTTTCCACTGGGCGCGGGAGGGGCCCTAGGAGACGCGCCGCGCGCTCCCGCGCTCCTCCGCCCTCCCGGGAGCGCGAACGCGCCCCCCGGCCGAGACTGCATATTAATAAGGGGCGGGACGGGGGCGGGACAGCGGGGGCGCGGCGACCTCGCGCCCGCGCGTGCCAGGACGCACCGCGGGGGGCGGCGCGATTGTGAGGTGGCGCTGACGCACGTTCCGGGGTTCTTAAGCGGCGAGGGCGGCGGCGGCGCCCCAGCCGGTTTCGGGAGGCGGCGGTGGCTGCCGGGAGGGGTGGCGGCGCCGCAGTCGGTGCCCCTGGCTCAGTCACGGTGTCCCTCTCTCACTGACTCCCCCTCCTTCCACCACGGCCGCGCCGCCTCAGATCTGGCGGCTTCCTAGGCGGGGCAGCGGACGGGGCGCGTCTACTCCCGCTGCCGCCGGCCTGATAAATGAGGGACTTCGGGTTTGGGGTGCTGCAGACCGCCCCGCTCCGAAGCAGCAGCCCCGGGTCCCTGTTCAGCGGCGGGGCGTACTGTCCCTACGCCGCGGGGCCCGCCGCGGCCGCCGCCCCGCTGCCCTCCGCCACGCCCTTCGGCCCGCTCTCGCCGCCGCCGCCGTTGCCTGTCACCGGCTTCTCGGAGGCCGCCTCCCCCTTCTCTATCCCCCTCGGCTGCGGCGGCGCGGGCGGCTCGGCCGCCGCCGCTTCCTCTTCCTCCCCGTTCCTGGCGCATCAGCAGACCATGCAGGATGAGCTGCTGCTGGGGCTGACACAGCAGCCGGCGCGGCCGCTCTCGGGGGCGGCGGCCGCGGAGAAACTCCCCAACCACCACCCCGGCGGCGGCACGAACGCGGGTGTGACCCACCTCCTCCCCTCCCAGGACTTCAAACCGAGTCTGCACCACCCCTCCTCCTCCTCCGCCTCCTCCTGCTGCTGCTGCCGCACCTCCTCCCCGCAGGACTTCAGTAAGCGGCAGCAGCAGCAGCTGAGCAGCCAGAAGAGGAAAGAGTTCAGCCCTCCCCACCTTCCCCACCCTCCGGACTCGAAGCCGCCGCCGCCGCCGCTCCACTGCCCCGGCCGGTTCAGCCCGCCGCCGCCGCCCAGCCCGCTACTCCAGCCGGCGCAGCTCGCCCAGCGCCAGCAGCAGCAACAGCAGCAGCAGCAGCAGTTCAGCCTCCCGCGCCCGCAGCACCTCCCGCCGCAGGACTTCGCCCCGCGGCAGCGCCCGGCCGACCTGCCCCCGCTCCCGCAGCTCCAGTCTTCGCCGCCCGCAGCCCCGCGGCGCCGCCACGGAGGCGCGGGCAGCCCTCGCAAGACCCCGGCCGCGGGTGAGGGCAGCGCCGCCGAGCCCCCCAATGCGGGCTTGGCCCCCTCGACGCCGCCGGTGAACCCCGCGCCGGGCTCGATGGAGTCCCCCAACCACCCTCTGCTCAACAGTCCCAGTAACCTCCTGCCCGGCGGGGCGCTCGGCTCGGGCGCCTTCAGCAGCCTGCAGAGCCCGGACCTTCCGCACCCAGGCGGCGGCGGCGGCGGCGGCGGCGGCGGGGGCGGGGGG